GTATAGTTGACAAAATATGAAAATTCAACAGCTATGTATCGATAAGAGCTGATTATCGACACGGAACGGCACTTTACGCAGGTGTCAACTGCGATCACTATTGTCGTTCAGAGACGCGAGCATTTAAGTCAAAAGAAGCGCTTTGCCAGGGACTTTGTCGTTATAACGCCTATAAACACTTTTAGTACAAGTTGACCTGAGAGACTGCACGGTCGTACTTCGACAAGGTTCTAATTCCGTCACCGGGGGGTCCGGTCGCTAATAAAGTGGATTTGTCGACATCAAAATAACACTTTATGAGCACAACACTAATGCGCTTTATCGATACACTCTTAGGGAGTTATCGTGTGATAGTGTGGCTGAAATATTGTACAACTTATGTAGATTTTTTGTATTAAGCTTAGCGTTTACTTGGATTTTTACATATCTAGTACAGAAACAAATATCATTTGGATAGTAGCTACTTAACTTGAGGTAATAGGTACGTGAGGTTGTATTGTAGATACGTTCATACAGCCACAAGTTTTTTAATGTTTGGTTTAACATCAGACTGTCATAAATGATTAGATTTTTAACACACGTCATTAGGCTAAGATACTTAGAAAACCTTTTAGTTATTTTATACTGAAAACAAAATTGCAATATAGAAAAATATATATTCGCTAAATTCACCAAGAATTTAATTTAATACGGGAAAAATTACATCCTTCAAGTCTAGAATTCAGAAAACCAACATAAGAATATAATAAAGTTGCTATAGGCAATTAAAAAATATCTTTAACCACAAAAAGTCAATTTCTAATTAGTAACAAACTTCATTCAAACATAACGTGATCAATAAACACAACACACACACACACACACACACACAACTTCTGTATTACGTAATAATACCAATGACACACAGACAACAGTAATGAATTTTCTAGCTTATATTATTATATTTTATCGGGCCTTCGGTGTCTGATACTAAAGGTCGGGACCCCAGTGGCGCCACCTCTATCAATGTTCTAACAAAAATAGTTTGCGACCAATTAGTTTTATAAAAAATACACCGGATACTCGACTTTTATTTTGGTACAAATTTAAGCTTTGAATTCTTTGTCGCATTGATAAACACGGAATGAATGGAATGAGGTCAGCTTTGTTTCTTTCTGTTGAGTTTTTTGAATGGAAAACTGTTAGTCAATAAGGTTGGGTGCAATTTTAGAAAAAAAAACGAGAAGAAGATTTTTTCTACATGTTTTTAAACTACGTAGATTCTGATTGTTAAAGTTAAAAGTAAAAAATCTCTGACAACGAAATTCAGTAGATGACAATTGGAGTTTTTAATAGAGGGTGGAGATTGCAGTTGATTGATTAATTTAAAATACGGCCATCCAAGTCAATTGCAACAAAAAAATAAGGACCAAACCTTGGTTTATAACATAGTGGCTCAAAAACTAGCTTTTTACAATCTAGACAATTAATATCTAGATTATCCAGTTCAGAATATAACTATCCTACTACTTTTACCTAAACGTATTAGTTTTATAAGTATGGACGTTTGTTACATTTTCACCTAAAAACTGCTGCACGGATTTGAATGAAATTTAGTATAGACAGATTATAGTCTAGTATACCTAACAAACAATCCACTGACAGAAGCTACTTCTAAATAGTTTAAAACATTTTTAACTTTAATACTAACAAACACGGAATCCTAATCCATTTCACAACTTCAACTTTCAAGTTGACTGACATCCAGTAACTCAGTTACACCAGGAACAAAAGCACGAAATACCACAACCATAGCATTGTATGAATAAACGGTTCTAACACGTCAGAAGACAATGGAATGGACAACCTAACATTAGGCGAGTTCCTCGAGTGAGTATACAGTACAGAACTATTTACTATTTTGTAGGGGAAAAATCATCAAATGACCTCTCTTGCCCAGGTTGAGAGGAGTGTCAGACTCTTTCTGACTAAAAACTATCCCATTCCTTCTCCTGGACGTCGATTCTATAAAATTTGTTTGATTTTGAGTGTGAAGTGAGCGTCAAAGTGACGGGGAAATTACATTATAGAATGCCACTTTAATTTAACGTCATCTCATAGGTACTTTATCTATCAAAATTTTGTCATCAATTCGCAAATGTAGCGCTAGTGTAGTCTACAACTCACAACAGATTCAGATTCGAAGTTTAGAATGAAGTCTGAAGTCTTACAGAATCACACTGCTGGTCTGAGTCTGAGTCCGCGGTTACTTACTGTGCTATTTTTTGTGAAGTTTAGGTGTACCTCAGTTTCTTTAACACTATAGACTTTTTGTTGGAAAGCTAAATCGATGGAGTTCTAGTTAATCACCTAGAGGAATATAAGCAAAATTATAAGGTTGGTGAGAACTGTTCCAGCCGTCATTCTTACGGTAAATCGTTGCTAATATGATAGGTATCAGTCTAAACTAGTCTAAGCTATAGCTAGGATCCCATTTTAATAATCTTAACTTCATAAGTGTAAGCTTCTTACGAAAATAATTTATTGTACCTGTAGAATCAGTCAATCACAGTACATACTATTTCTCAAAACCTGTGTGTCTTGAAATAACATTGACACTAACAGAGTAACATGTAAAAACCAGTTGCATTATTGTCAATTGTAAATCGACTAAAAGTAAAAATAAAAAAAAGCAAGTTTAAAAATTAAAAGTTTTAAAAAATAAAAAAGGATAACAACAAAGAGTGCGTCCCTTTTGTATACGTTTTGTTTACAAGCGCATATCATGAAAGTATGGTTCATGCAGGTTGGCTCGCCCAAGGGTCAAGGCTGGGACCAGTAATGACTACACTTGATGCCAACTATTATGTCATCAACGGGTCGGACAACTATCGCGATTCCGGCGGTATTAATTTTTTTACTTTTATTCTTTGATTTTTATTTTATTGCTTTTTGCAAATACCTTTCCAAATCTATGGTTTTACGTCTGGTATTATTTGTGTTTATAGTAATCTAATTATTAATAATGTAGTTTTAGGACTAGTAGGTAAAAAATGGACATCTATTCAATAAATTGTATTTGTACACACTCATCTCAGATTGTTACTAACAAGCGTTACAACCCAAAAATGTTATAAAATATTTTTGCGATGTTATCCGTTAATTATAAATAAACCAAGACGTCGTCTGTCAAACTAATCATAAATATCTATTTGTCACTAAGCATATTATCGAATCAACTATTTTTTTATGAATATGTTTCCATTCAAAGAAATGTCTTAGAACGGAACCTAAAATTAATCGGAATGTTTCAAACATCATTTAAATCCGGAAGGCAAACTTTTAAATTTATCGCACTTTTTACCAATTGTGGGTAAAGTAAAGAGGAATATCTAGTAGAAAAGGATATTTATTTAAACGCACAAAGGATCCAAAACGAAAATTAGCAACGATTATAGCTATTAAAAAAACAGGAATTTTCTATACCGATTTAATTAGAAAGACATTTAAAGATTAAGCAGAAGTGCGCTTTCTATACAGACTTATTTTACTAACGATGTTCACAGCCCAAAAAAACCTAGCTCAATGAGCAGCACAACACAAATCGGCAAATAAACCTTTTCAAATCCTAATTCAAATTAATATGTAGATCTATTCATCTTAACAATCCTTATTTTTAAAGTGAAATTACGACATAGAAGGTGAAATAAGTTGTTACGATTAACTGTCAGGTAAACAAAGTAATCAGATCACCTTATAGAAAGCAGGTTGGCAAACAATATGGTGATAATGATAACTATGTGGTTCCCATGGCATGATCGCGTACGATCATCTACACTTGAACATAATTATTTGGTGACATGCACCCGAGATTACGAGTTGCCGAGACTTAAACACGTTTCACTTGTAGCTTACCCAGCAGTAATTTTAAGTTTTGTATTTTTTTTTTATTTTTAGTTTTTGTAATTTTATTTATTTTGGTGGTTATTTTAATTTTTAATTTTATTTAAATTGAACATTATTTAATGTGCCTACCTACCTAACAGTGAATTTTAGTTTTGTATTTTTTTTGTTAATTAATTTTAGTTTTATTTTTATATTTTTAGTTGTTATTTTAATAAGTAGGTATTTTTATTATTTAATTTTTCACATTTATATCTTTTGTCTTAAACTTAAACGATACAAGTTAAATAGCACCAATTTTGGCAAAATTTGCATTTAAAACTGCGGCACCCCTTATCTTAAGGAGCAGACACTTTGTGAAAACTTTCTTATTGCATTCTGATTAGAAATGTCTCGAGCCGAGTTTTGTTAATTGAGATTTTAAAGGTCAATGGTTAATTCAAATTAATTGTCTTTGCTTGTTTATAACTTTTTTTAAATTTATAACTATAAAAGAATATTCTAAGGAGGACATGAAAAAAGGCGAATTATGTAGGCGTATGTAGAAACTTTTATTTTATTTATGATAGTTTCAAATTTGACATGTTGGGAAAATTGTATAGCCTACAGTTATTTACAGCCGTCGATAAAATACGCTAAATCGTAGTAATCATTGCTTTTGATACGATAATTGGTGTTTCGTAGGATCATCAATCATCGGAACTATTACGAGATAGTTTCTCGTATTGTACCTAACTTGTTTAGTTAACAATTATCCAGTTACCGATACTCTATCGACGGTCTTTTTATTATTGCTTTTTTTAAATATCACTTTCAATATTAATTTTTTGTATAAAGTTTTTTTTAACTACGTCTTATCAAAAAAAAAAAAGTTAGCAAAGTTTTTGAAAAGTCAAAGTTTAATCGTTTTTGGCACCTACTTGACGTCTTAAGCTTAACAACCTAACCTAATTTTGGTCCTGAGTTTGCGTAAAACTTTGTCTAAAACTCGTTATCACACACCAGGAGCCCGGACTCAAACTCCTGGACCGCACAATACGAGGGCCACAGCACAAACACACGGACAGTTTCCGTCGCTCCGTCACTGGATCACTTTCACTGCACACAAGATTACGTACCCTCACAAGTGAACTGGCCGTAGTGCTTCCCCGAGGACTTGTCTCCGCAGACCACGCACTCCACATTCTGGCCCTTATCCGTCGCGGAGGAGCCGCTTTGCGTCGACGCGGCCTGACTCGCGGGCGTAGACGGTAGGAGCTCGTCTTCCCGCCAGCTACCGCGAAAGCCGAGTTCGAGAGGCGGGAGGTCAGGGGCTCTCGGAGGGCAAAGCCCCGGGCCTCCGACCCCGCCGTAAACTAGCGCTCCGTGCGTGATGATGCCGGTTGCCGTCACAGGGCAAGAGACCGCGCGACGCGCTTGTGTGTCAAGGGTCGCGGTTCAGCCGCGACTGAGCCGGGTCGGGCCAGGGCGCGCCGCGCCGCCATTGGCCCGGTGGCCCGCAGGGGCAGGGAGCGAAGGCCCCGCCACCTCGACCGCTGCCCCCCTCCCCGACACCCGGGGTGGAAATCTTTCAGCCGAGTACCGTCGGTAAGAAAATTTACTTCTTACATTATTATTTGTGCAACGTTTTTAGAAGAGTAAAGCGTTATTATGCATTGTATTTCCGTCTCTGTCTAGCTCAGTTTGTGAATAGAATAAACTTGTTTATGAAATGTTGAATAACGATTTTTAACGTTTGTTTAGGTAGCTGTTTTTTATATAACATGTGTATATTTACCACGTTTTCGGGTTTTGTATTTTAGGGTATATTTTATCCCTATTTATTATGTATCTATTTCATTCAATCAATTCGATACGACTATTAAATAATTTAAAATATCACTAGTATCAGTATACACATAATAATATAAGTTCTCTGAATATACTAAAGTTCTCGCGAAAAATATAATGGTCGACATTTCAGTGCCTGCGCTTCGGACGGTACCTGAAAATCCTACTTTGTATCAACTTTCTCGCTGCCTCCATATTTCTGCGGGCTGATAGGCACTCCGTATACTTAACTATCCACATACAGGTGATCAAGTGGCTCTCTCCTTGTTACTGTAATGTACGTTTTATTATGTTGCCCATTCAAACACTGCTGAGCGAATGTAGGTTATGCTTCCTACTATCCTTTCAGCTATTTCGGTTCAATTTCGCTTGCAAAATAATTGTTAATAAATTGTAACGATGACTCAATATCAAGAACAATGATCTTAGAAAACATAAATCAATGTAGTAAGCATTTCAATTCAATAAAATATTGATTACTTCAATGAATATATTTGTTTTTTCATACCAATACATACAGAACAACGTTTCACATTAAGACGTGAGTTACGTTATTTAGATCTAGATCAATCTAGATGGCCGGTAGGCGGCGCGTGCGCAGGGGGCGTGGCTTCACGCAGGAGGGGGGGAGGCACTCCCGCGCACTTGTCAGCGTGACGTCGACTCAGTTTGACGCATCGCCGACGCGACAATGTGATTCGATATTTTTTATAATCACAACGAGACGTACCGTTCGTAGACGAACAGATATGACATGATATAAAGTTTTTGTTTCTTGACATACATAATGAATATCACATTTAAGTATATTGAAAAGGTTTTAATATACTTGTATATAAATTAATCTCCTGAAACGTTCAATTTCTTAACACTTAATTTGAGTACTTTTTCTATATGCAATTATTTATTAATTTTGACTGAAATGCTGTATTTTTAGTCACTGAAAACGTCTATTGTTTGATTTAATGCAACGTATCATTGTTACTTACTACTGCGTAATAATTAATTCTGATTTCACAATTCTTATTGGACTTTGATCCATATTGTGCATTCTTATAAGAATTATTATTGTATGAAGTAAGATTGTTTTTTTTTTATGCCAATAATTAGTAAGCTTTTGATTGGTTGATTGGCCACAGAAGTATATGGTGATTTTCAGTTTTATTTAGATTCGAAAATCTTTCAATCGACTTTATCAAAATTCTATTAATGTGTCCATTGCTAAGTGATTATAACATTTTAATTAATTAAAAGCATTTACTAGGTAATGATATAATACGTTTTGATATTAGTTAATGGTTATAACCCTTTTTGAAGGACATAAATATATTTATATTGTTTAACGTGTTGTCACATATAGCCTTGATTTGATTGAGCGATGGTTTTCAAATACTATTTTTCTATAGAGATGGATACCTACAAAAATCTTATAACATACAACGTGATCTAACAAACTCTGTATCGCTTTCTAATAAACTAATATTTCAAAGAATAATAGTGATTTCTTTTTCAAATATTTTACGTCACTGATAGAACAGTTTTTTATAACAACGAAAAAAAAATTATGCTTGTACTATTTCTATTGTAGGTATATCAATTTTCTGAGTTTAAAAGTAGTCAGCTACTATTTAATTCAAGTCTATAATCTATATCTGTGTCAATTATCATCAAAATTCATTCAGTAGTTCTAACGTGAATGAATAACAGACATCCATCAATATTTTCAAATGATTTCTTAAACGTGTTATTTCTAATTATAAGTTTGAATTAGCCAATCAGCTTTGAGCAAGTGTGGTGATTAATGCTCAAACCTTCTCTATGTGAGAAGAGGGCCTTTGTTCAGCAGTAGGATACTTATAAACTGATTATGTTATATCTATAACCCAGTAGTATGTCATAGTATCTTGCCCTTAGGTTCAGTGGTCGCGACGAGTGTGTCTTCAAGACTGTGTTACTGATAATATGTGACTGTATCCCATAATGAATACTGTATGTATACTTAAGATATCAACATATGTATATTATATCTGACTAAGTAACGCAAGGATTCTACTAAGATATTAATTCAGTAGGCTTTTGTTAAAATAAAGTTGTGTATTTGTTAGAAACTTCTTTGTTTTGTTAAATTACTTTGTTATGTTTGCCTAGTAGGTAGTAGAGACTACAAAATGTAAAGTACAAAATTTAAAAAAAAATAACTCCAATACCTATTAAATAAATTTTATTTTTTCGAAACGTGAACTTACCTAAATAGTGACATGTCTTTGAAGAAAAACTGAGAAACCAATTACAAAAACATAACTACGTAATATTGGAACATTAAGGAAAAGTAAGTACCGAAAATCCTTTTCAATGACGTCATACCAATATCTACACGAAACCCAGTTAATAACTACAAAACTAAAACATCCACTCTTCATAACACAAACAAAACAAACTCAAAAACAAAAGCCTAACAAATCAGCCTTACAGACTGAAACACAATCTATCTACGAACCTATACATAAACGTTTCCATTTACATCAAGAAGCATCAAGTAAATTTCCCTTTTAAAAATAAATAACAAGAAAGCCTTGGTTTTCACCCCCGGGGTGAAAGAGCGGGGGTGAAGTGAGCGAGGTGAGGCTGGGCGGGGTCAGAGGTCGACCCCGCCCAGCCTCACCTACGCAGCTTTACTGGTCTGACTCTTGATAATTGGCTATGTGTGTCACTTCAAGGCTATAACGCTGACTGACTGTACGGTTGGCGCGGTGGCTGGGCAACTGGCTGCCAGGCAACGTGACGCGGGCTCGATTCCCGCACGCAAATTGTTGTTCCGTGGTTGGTCTGGGTATGTTTGTAAACGCACCTACGACACAGGAAAAAACTCTGTGGGGCAACGTTTTTTTTTTTGAAATAAGAAAAGAAGAGAATAAGGAATGCTATGAGGCTATAAGTTGCATTGGTCCAGTAGCTCTGAGCTACTATACTTAAATATGGGGCTTCGATCAATGTAAGCTATGTGAACGCTACTATTCTTTAAGTGGTAGATTCGATCCTTGAGTCCTTAAGAATTTAGGGTAAGATAGATTTACAAATAATAAAACTGAAAAGGTTATATTTCAGATTATAATATAGTTTACGTGTAATTATCTACTGACTGGTTTTCTAAGAGATGTGATGATGTTTCGAGTACTTAATTAAATACAATTAAGTACTTGATATAAATATATATTAAGAGACAATAGTCTCTCGTAATATTTAAACTGTTGAATTTTTAGAGCACCCTATATACCTATAGCTTTCTCAGATATGTGTATCAGATATTTTTTTGGACTACGTTTTAATTTACATCTTGATTTATGTAAGTAGCTTAAGTAAAACATAATGCTTCAGACTTAAATATAATATGAATATCAACATAAAGACCACGAGACGAAAAAAATAGACACGCAGACACACATTTTTCGCATGATTACATCAGCCAGAATGTCTGTACTTGACGACAACAAAAATCAAACAATATCTACATAAGGAAACACAAAGAACATAATATTTTGTCAAATAATATGACGGGAAAGCAACTCTAAATCAACCTTATCATGCAAGCAAAGCAAGGAGTATAACTAGTCTTCAATAAATGTCTTCAAATCATCACTCAATACGTCACACAGGTACTTCCTTACCCATAGCTCAATGTCGCAAACGTTGGCAGTCAATCAAGAAGTCGTCTCTTCAATTCCGTTACACTTGATCTAATATTGTTTATCTGTTGTTTGTTATTTCATCTATGTAGGTAAAAATCTTAATGAGTCTTTTGGTTTTTTTTAACATTCTAACCTAATAGTTAAATAATTACCAGATTCATTCTTAGTGCTAGATCCATGTATCTTAAATTTTCTAAAAGACTGGACTTAGTCGATGTAACTCAGGGTATATCTAGCTTTCTAACATTGAACAAGTTTTCAAAAGCAGCATAGTAGTTTTTGAGTTTATTAATGACAAACATACATGTATGTACATACAAAATTACAAAGTTTTCTTCTGTTCACACTATAAGTGTATAGATAGGCATATGTAACTAATTCCTTCACCTTCTTCTAAAAAGAGTGTTACCAATAATTAAAAATATACTTAATTTAATTTAGCTATACCAATTTCCTAGTATAAATACGTTATCTTTTCATAATGGCCGTTAAGATTTTGTCCATATTCACTTCTAATAAGAAATAATATATGAACTGTATAAAACTATTATACTTTCGAACTTCAAGTTTTTTTTCCCACTTTTTTCAATGCTTTTACTTTGGTAACCAATAAAATAATCCGAGGTTCTCATAAGTAAAACATGTCCCTAAAAACAAATTGATATTTCTCTTTAAATTTCGAACATAATTTAATTTTTTTAAACCTACCCTTTAAAGGACTCATTACTTATTACAGTTTAAACTTCGAACACGACTTTATTTTTAAAAAACAACCTATAGTAATAGGTATTATCAAATAACCATAGACAACTCATTATTTTTATTTTATGCACTACCATAGTCATTTTATAGCTATCCAGAATTTCATTCGTACAAAAATAAATAAAATAATCTGCCAACTCAAACCATATTCTGATCCTCCTTTCCAAGGCAGTTGCCGCAGTAAACTTATCTCCGGAGTTATCATCGATCGTGACAGCGGTGTCTGTGTGTCACCTCCCTTCCACCCTCCCCCCATTTGGGTGACTGAGTAATTGGGTGCAGGTACCCGAGTGCCCGAGACTACCCCGGCCAAACGACAGTAGGTATTCCTTCTTTCTTTCTTTTCTCGGTTATTTTCAGGGTTTTTGATGTTGTGTGTGCGGCTTTTATGTGTGCGGCTTGCGTTGGGTTAGTAATTAGGTTTGTTAAATGTGTTTTGTTAGTATAGAAATTTGTCTGTTGAAGAATCGTTTGAATTAAGTTACTTAACTTTATTGATATTTAATATAAGATCTAGGTGTTGCTTTACCACAGTTTTTTCGTTAGAGCTAGTTTCCTCTACGCACCAGGATTAACAATTACATTGATTAGAAGTAATTGAGCTGCAGTCTAAAAGAACAACTTTTCTTTATAAACAACTAGCTTCCGCCCGCAGCTTCACCCGCGTGGTGGATAAAAAAGTAGCTTTACCTCTCATCTGCCGGTATACGAGACACAATAGAAAACACGTTGTGTCTCGCGTATTTTTGCGCTCCGGCATACCACTAGTTAAATATGTTAATCCAGGTTATCATCACCTAACCACATACCTACTAATTTCAACCAAATCGGTTCATCCGTTTTTGCATGAAAAACTTACAAATATTCATACGTATAGATATACATACATACTACATATTAGTAGGGTATAATTAGATAAGAAGTAGGAGAGAAGCGATATTAAAGTTACGCAATAAAAAACCTCCATAGGTACAATATCAAGCCATTTCACAACCAGAAAAACAAAGAACAAGACCATTTGAAACGACAGTAAAAAAATCACTTAGGTACCGTAAGAAATAAAAGTTGAAGACATTGCAAAGTTACTTCAAAAGTACTTGACGTTTTGTAAGAGACATAAATTGTGAAATAAAACGGATTGGAAATGCGTCACACACATATGTCAATCGCCACCGATGAGATCTGGACGACGGACAACAGCTCCATCTAGCGATGGCAAACAAAATTATAACAAAGAATAAATTGCTGGCATTGTTTCGTTACCTATCATATTATGGATATGTTTTAGTTAATTTAATTGACGGATAATTTGATATAACTTCCATATAATCAAAGTCAAAGTCAAAATCATTTATTACAACCAAAAATATCAGCAGGTATTTTTGGAACGTCAAAATAGAATAATAGTGGGTATCAGTGCTATAATATGTGTCAGTTAATTTAAAATAATGTCTTATTAGTAGTAGTGATGTTTCTTATAACTTTACCACATTAAAATATAATTCACTTAGCTACATTAAAATACTGATTTTATCTTTTTTTATGGTATAAGTCGGCAAACGAGCAGACGGATTACCTGATGGTAAGCAATCGGCGCCGCTCATGGACACCCGCAACACCAAAGGAATTACGAGTGCGTTACCGGCCTTTAAATTATCTAGCAGATCCTTAACCAGTTCACAGACGGGGCCCCATAGGGCTGATGTTCAGCCGGGGTTGCGGGGTAAGTGCAATGAGGAACCGCGACCTCGGCCTAGAGCAGGAGAAGGAACAAGGGGGTTTTTAGTCAGTAAGAGTCTGACACTCCCTCCCGCCCGGCCCTGGGCGGGAGAAGTCATTTGATGATTTTCCACTCCAACCAAAAAATCCTTAACCAGTTGTTTTAGTAAATATTATTATGCCAAATGTTATTATTTAAATTAACGTTACAACAAACAAATGATTGCAACAAGACTCAACCAAATTCATTCACAGATACCTACATTTCAAAAATCGAAACAAAACGCACAAAAGACTGACGTCATCGTCTAAAAAACCGTTAACGACATCCGAACCTCTAAATACATCGGTAAACATTTGAAATATTTGCAGTTGAGCTCCGAATAAATCAATCAGTCCACATTACAATTTACACTAAGATCGATACGTTAAAACGAGTACCAAGAACCAAGTATGTCAGCGTTAAATCACGTGTCTTTTATCTTGTTTGTTTGTTTGTCCGTTCGTTTCTTTGTCTGTATGCCACTGTTTAAATTAAGAACGTCTGCCAATGTGTCCTGTCGGTGCTTGTTTATAAAAATGATGTATTTATCACCTTTTCTTGAATATTTTTTTGTCTTCTCGCTTTTGGTTCTGTGTCTGCCATTTTACTATACTTTTTTGGCTGATTTATGCTTTGATATTTTATGTGGATTTGTGGTTTCAATGGGCTCTTAATAAAACAATATTGAGCTAATGTAATTTGTTTAACAAATGACTTTTCCTTCTATTACTGACTAAAAACCTGTTTCTTCTCTTGCTTGATTTCGATACGAAAATATGTGTAAGCGTTAGCGATCTACATATGTATATGTGCAGGGAATTCTAGAATCTACGCTTATGGAGCATGGAGCAAAAAAAAATTCTATAGGTACCTACCTACCCAAAATTGACATAAAAATGGAATATATGTAGAAACCTACTTAATAAATTATTACACAATCATAAAACGTCGATACAGCTCTTGTCCAATGGAAGTCGGTCGATTATTTTTCTTGAATGATAAGACAAGGTCTAAGGTTATCAGTTTGTGACTTCAAGTTGTATATGCGCAGCGCCTTATCAATAACTTGGTAGAATTCTTCCCTGTCTTGTTTCGATATCATAATGAATATAGTTTTAAGTTTCCCTATTTGTATGATACTTTATGGGTAGTTTCCGGCAATACGTTTTATAGTTTTATACATAACTAGCTTTTGCCCGCGACTCCGTTCGCGTGGAATAGTGATTTCCTGCGGATTTTTGGTATAAAAACTATCCTATGTCCTTTCTCGAGTTCCAAACTATGTCTGTACCAAATATCACGGAAATCGATTGAGTACTTTAAACGTGAAGAAAAGACAGACAGACAGAATTACTTTCGCATTTACATGTTAAGTTTGGACTAGCTGTTTCGCAGGAACTCTTCTAGTAGTTCTATACAATTATACACAGCTATTCAACTAATTGCCTTATCTATACTTCTATACTAATATTACAAAGAGGTATTGCCAAAATTCTTTCACTGATAGATAGCTACAATGTGCCTGAGTGCTATAGGTTATAAAACATTACGCTAGGATGAAATGGAGCCGAGCTAAATGGAGCGAGTGAACCCGCGTGAGAGTAGCTAGTGACTACTAATTTGATTGAATGACTGAATTTATCATTCATTCAGGCCTTAATCTGGAGGGATAAGAGACTTTTATTAATCTACTGGCCAATATGGTAGGTTAGAATTATAACCCTTAATAATAGGCTACTAGAAATGAACAAGGCTCTATAGGCAATACTGATAGAGCCAGTTGGCTGTGTCATACGTGTAGCTGCAAATTTAAAATCTTAGTTTTGTGTTTAAAAATGTAAAAACGTAACGTATATTAAGCAAAAGCCTGAAAACAATAACAAAGGTTACACAAAACTGTACCAACGCTTTTAAAACATAACTTCCAACTAAAAGTTTCCCGGAAAAAAGTCTCAAATGTATGGCTTGGTCAGGGGCTCGCAACTATTGGTTTCGCTCGAGTACCCCGTTCATGATCCGATTTCACGCACGGACGCCCGGGGCCCGCCGACTCGTCGCGTCTGCATTGCGAAAAAAATTACGATAAAAATAGATCCGGTTCAGTTTTTTATTCACTGAAAGATGAGCATTTGATAAAAATTTAAAGTTTACCGTGTGAAATTTCAGATTTTTAAACATTTTCCTTGTATGAAACAGTTAGATCACGCTGTCTACAGAAAGGCAATTTCAACATAGTGTGTTTCAGGTTTCAATACTTATTTCTTCAAGATTAGTGATGATGTTGGAACTCTATTTAGGATTTACGCAACAATATCTGATAATCTGTTTCGTATAAACACAACAGCCACTTAATGTGCATTCGCGTATTAAAATCTATTCAATCCGTGCATTATTAGCTTCGCAATACCCTCAATATTAATACCTTAAATATGCTTCAGTAATAATCCTTCAAAAAAGCGTCATCCCTCACAATCCGTCTAATAAAACCGTAGCGAGTTGTATACAATATCGTAGCGCGGCGCCACCGTCGCTTTGTGCGGAGGCGACCAATTGTGCAGAACCCCTGGGCTGATCACTTAATTGACTAGCGAGCGAGAGCTTTCGGGGGAAGCGATACCCACCCTCAATCATTCAGCTATGCACGTCATACATTACTGCATCTGTTTAAGCAGATTACTGTAGCTACACTCCACCCAAGTAATGGACGTTGCATTGATAAATATTTGAGTTTTATGCTTCTAGTTGTGGTAAAGGATTATAGTGCAGTAGAAATGAGATTTGTTGGCAAGTGATGGGATTGTGTAGGAGTATTAATGCCACTTAATCTGAACGATTAACCGGGGGCTGTTGATTCGCGGCTGAACGCAAAGAGGAGCAGTCGAGTGCATTGAAAGGTGGCAGTTATTGGATTGTGGATAGAACGTTCCTTGTTCATGTGTAGATTGGAGTTCGATAACTGTTCGTGATTGCCTTTTTGATTTCTTATTTTATGAATAGTGATTTGTTTTATGATTAGAGATATTACCTACTTGGTTATTTCTTCATAACAATCATCAGTCTGAATTATTGCGCACTTTACGTTTGTAATATTTTTCTGTTCGACTATTAACAGAAAAATAATTCGTGAAACTTTTTGCCTCGCAAAGTAAAATTTCACAGCAAAACTTTCGCCGACGGTATTACCGAACCGATGAGATCTA